GCCCAGGCAGAAACCCTTGTGTGAGGCTCTCATCTTCAGTGTCTCCTGTTGGGAGCAACCCTTCCGCACCAAGACTTGACGTGTTGTCCCTCTGCAGCCCTGCCTCCCAGGGAGAAGGGACTGAGTGTCCTCTGGGCATGTGCAGTGATTTTTCTGGCCCACGGAAGACTGGTTGAGCGATGCCACAAGCTGTGGTGAAGCAGCTGGCTCTGGGCCCACAGGCAAAGGACCTCAACATCCTCTCCCAGGAAATGGGGAGAATACCCATCACCTCCCTTGTGGTTGTCTAGGCGACAGAGTGGGACAGTGAGGTCACCATGAGGACTCAACATGGGCTGCCGAGGCACCGATCAGCTTTAAAGAGCCAGTGCCTCCAAAGGCCTGCTTAGTGGGGTGGACTCTGCTGAGGGTTAGCCCAGGTGGCCCACAGGGCAGTGTTCTGGGCACGTGCCGTGCACCCAGCCCTGTGCTGGGAACCCAGCCGTCACACCCTGGCCTACTGGTGTTCGCCATCCCCAAGGAGGACAGGCAGTCAGGTGTCTACACAGATGAACAGAGACGTGAAGAAGGCTGGCCTCTCCCAGCAGCGTTTATTGTTACCACTCACTCTGCCTGACCCAGTGTTGGGGCATGAGGCCAGCAGGACAGCAGGATAAGGGTGAGCCTGCTGGGGGAGCCACGGAGGGCACAGGAGCTTCACGAGGGGGTGTTCCTGCTGCTCGATACAACGTAGGCGTCAGGTCAAGGAATGCTTCCTGGAGGCGGCAGCCTTGAGTCTAACCAGGCTCCCTGGGAGCCCTGAAAGGCCACGTGTGCCTGGGTTTGCCCACAGGACGGAGGCCGATGGGAAGTCCTACGTGAAGTACCAGGTGATCGGCAAGAACCACGTGGCAGTGCCCACCCACTTCTTCAAGGTTCTGATCCTGGAGGCAGCAGGCGGGCAGATCGAACTCCGCTCCTATGTGATGCCCAACGCACCCGTGGACGAGGCAATTCCGCTGGAGCGCTTCCTGGTGCCCATCGAGAGCATCGAGCGGGCCTCGGGGCTGCTCTTCGTGCCGAACATCCTGGCGAGGGCGGGCAGCCTCAAGGCCATCACTGCGGGCAGCAAGTGAGGGTGGCAGCCCGGCCAGACTGAGGGTGTGGGGCTGGGTTGCATTAAAGGTGGTTAGTTTTGGAGAAAGTCTTGGCTGTGTCCGTCCTCGGTGACCCTCAGGAACCTCTGGCCTCACCACTGCTGCTTCTTTCTCTTGTGCCTGACAGAAGCCTCAGCTGGGCCGGGCGCCTGCCTGGGCAAGGCCACGCTGCAGGGCAGCCAGGGAGATGAGGATGGCCTCCTGGAAGAGAGGCAGCGATGGGCTGGGGCCCGCGAGGCTGGCAGGGGCCCCGGCTCCCATCCTGTCTTTAGTGCCTGACTGCCCAGGACCCAGTCCCTTGGGCTCCACTGGCTTCAGCAGGGCCCTGAGGGTAAGGACAGCCCAGTGTCATTCTGCTGACCTGCCACTGGCTGGCTGCAAGCCCTGCCATGGAAGGGTTTCCCTCCTTGTTCCTCAGTCTGTCCCTCTGTAAAATGGGGATGATCGTGCAGCTACCTGCCTCCTAGCGTCAGGGTCAGTGATAAGCAGCTCTCAGTCTTTGGTACAGGTACTGGAAGAGTGAGAGCCGGGGTTTCTGTTGGGAGGGTGCGGTTGGCAGGCTCCCTGCACCTGTCCCCAGCAGGGCTCTTGGGGACAGGTAGACTGAGGCAGGCCACTTGTTAGGCACCACCTTTGAGACTGAAGGAGAAACGGAGCATCCCCCAGCAACTAGTCCACAGGTTCCAGGACGCCCAGGACCAAGGCTCTCAGCTGGTGGCATCCTGCCCCTGCAGAGGGCTGCCCTGGTCACTCTGGAGGACGTGGGAGGCTGAGCATCAGTGAAGGAAGTGGAGGCCCAGAGCAGGGGTGGGTGGGGTCTCCTGGGCCCCCCAGCTTGGGAGCAGCTGGACGGGCACCAGCACCCAGGAGTCTTGCCCCCAGCTCACTCGTACCCTGTCCCTGCAGGTCTGCAGTGGGGAGGAGATCATCTCCAGGGAAGGCTGGCTGAGGGCAGCCTCAGGCAGGGGAGGCCACAGGGGGAGTTGCAACCCCTCTGGACAGCCCGGGGCTGGACGCGGGAGGTGGGCAGGCTCACCTCTGTGCGGATGGTGCGGCTGCCCTGGCTGGGGCAGGTGTTCACGTAGAGGTCGAAGAGGACACTGGGTTCCGTGACCTCCAGGTTGGGGTCAGCACTCACTCCGGCTTCCAGTCCTTGGAGGCCCCCGAACACCACGAGCGCGTGCCTGGCACCACAGTAGGGGATCACTGACGGCTCATCAAGGCTGCACTGCAAGCAGCCCCCACAGCTCCAGCCCCATACACAGCAGGGGCCCAGTCTATAGTTTTGCCCCCAGCAGACTGGTCCGTCCTCTGCTCCATTCCTCCGCCGCCGCCCTGCCCCAGGTTGTACCCACCTGAAGCCGGGCAGCTGGGCAGAGGCCACATCTGAGCCTCGCTCTGATGTCCCGATAGTCAGGTCATACCCGTCTGGGAAGGGAGCCTCAGCAAACACAGCACCTGGGGGCAAGATCAGCTCAGCAGGGGCCCTGCTGTCCTCAAGCCACAGCTGCTTGGCTGTGACTGTGAATACTGGGTGGGCTCGGTGTGGAGAAGGGGACTCAGGTAAGGGAGCCACCCAGGCCCTCCGCTGTCCCTGGGAAGTCAGGGACCATCAGGGAGAGGCCACACCTGGGCCAGATTGGAAGCCAAGCAGAAGTGGGCAAGAAGGAGCTTTGAGAGCAGCTCTGTACCTCTGACGACTATGGTCCTTTGCCCCCATTTCCAACCCACAGTGACATCAGTAAACGGTCATGGCACTTTTCCTCTGGAGCCTTTAACGGCGCCCAGGCAGAGCACTCGAAGACCAAGGCCCAGAGCAGGAAAGGCAGTTGCCCAAGGACACACAGCAAGCACGGCTCCCTGGGGCCCGCCACAGAGAGAGGAAGGAGATTCGTAAAAGGAAGCTCTGTCCTTACTCAGGCAAGAGGCCAGCCGGACTGTGTAGCCCCAGTAGAGACCGGCTTTGGTGCGAGGGTCCTGAGATGACACGACTTTCCCACGGTAGGTCTTGCTTTCTGGAGGGGAAGCAGAGAGGCTGTGAAGACGGGTGAGGTGGAAGGAGGAGGCTCTGACCCTCGGGCTGGAAGCTCTCAGGTACCTGGGAGCTGCTTCTGGCTCAGTTGCACGGTCACCCGAAGTCCAGGTTCCAAGTTCTTGTCAATCTTCACCTCCTGGGGAGAAGCCAGAAATGGGTGCGGTTCCCCAAGGGACCAGCAGGGGTCACCGCTCTCCCAGTAGCCGGCGAGGCGAATCTGTGTGGCCCGCAAGGGCCTTAAGGNCGAGGGGACAAAGAGGTGGAAGGAGGAGGCTCTGACCCTCGGGCTGGAAGCTCTCAGGTACCTGGGAGCTGCTTCTGGCTCAGTTGCACGGTCACCCGAAGTCCAGGTTCCAAGTTCTTGTCAATCTTCACCTCCTGGGGAGAAGCCAGAAATGGGTGCGGTTCCCCAAGGGACCAGCAGGGGTCACCGCTCTCCCAGTAGCCGGCGAGGCGAATCTGTGTGGCCCGCAAGGGCCTTAAGGGGTCCAGGGCGACCTTTGCCCCCACACCTGGGCCAGATCAGCTTACAAGGCACCATTCCTGCAAAATGACTACCACGAGACACTGGTGGGAAATGAATGCTCTGGGCCTGGCCAGTGTGCTCAGTGGTTAGTGTCCCGAGCACCAAAGGGTCATGGGTTTGATTCCTGGTCAAGGGCAGGTATCTGGGTTGCAGGTTCATCCCCAGCCTGGTTGGGGCGTGGGTGGGAGGCAACCAACCGATGTGTCTCTCTCACATCGATGGTTCTGTCACTCTCCCTCCTCCCCCTTCCCTCCCACTCTCTCTCAAAATGGGAAAAAATATCCTCAGGTGAAGATTAACATAAAAAAAACGCACGCTCTGGGCCTGGCAGAGTAGGAGGTAAATATTCGTGGAGATGTTTTCTACATTTTGGTGGCTGCGCCACTTATTAGTCATAGGAGTTTGTGTGGGTCACTTAACCTCTCTGAGCTTCAGTTTCCTCTGTCAAACAGAAAACATCCCGGAACAACAGCTACTGTTACGCTGCACAGGGCCGGGTGTGCGGGAGCCGGGATGAATGAGCACGAATGTTCCGACCCGATGCTGAGTCGGGACAGGGCGCTGTCTTTCGCTTCTGGGGGCTCTTATGCTTTCCTCACTCATCCCTTCCTGGGTCTTCCTGGTCTGCTTTTAACCAGTTAGTTCTGATCTGCTCTGTTGAGGGGAGGGCACCCCACACATTTACATGTCTCTGCCTCTGACTCTAGGACACTTGAGAGTAAATAGGTGGCAAAGGACGGCTCCAATCCCCAGCATGGCCTGCATCACACTGGAGCAGTCCCAGAGTGACTTTGAACTTGTCTTTGCAGGGTTTTGTTTTGTTTTTAAAAGCACAAGGACCATTATCTGTTGATTCGCTTTAAAAAAACAACCAGCCCAGCCGACGTGACTCAGCGGCTGAGCATCCACCTAGGATTCAGATCTCGGTCCAATTCCCGGTCAGGGCACATGCCCGGGTTGCAGGGCTCGATCCCCATGGGGGGCATGCAGGAGGCAGCCCATCAGTGACTCTCACCATTGATGTTGCCATCTCTCTCTTCCTTTCCCTTCCTCTTTTTGAAATCAATAAAGATATATATTTTAAAAATTAAAAAACAAAACAAAACAAAACCAGTAAATTTGCTCCAGGCTTTACCTACTGAGCCCCGACTTAAACACTTCTCTGGTCCAAACCAGCATCAATGGGGGACTGGTGGGCAGAGATGCCTGGGTCCCGGGCTGCCCACTCACCCCCCCACCTGCCCATCGCCGGGGTACACCCGGCCTGTGTGGCCTCATCCACACTCCAGTTCCTACCTTCTTCATGCCACAGTTCACAAAGGAGCCCTGGCCGGGCCGGGTGGGCCGGTCCACCACGACGCCCTCTCGGAACTCCGTCTCCTCGTCCTGCCGCATGTGGTGAGGGCTGTCCAGGGGGTTCAGGAGCCCTGTGGACGAGGCGGGGTCAGAGGAGGTGAAAAACACATGGGGTGGGGCAGGGAACCCTGGTCCAAGGTCCTGCTCTGCCACAGACCTGCTATTTGCCACCAGACACAGGCCCCCCACCCCCAAGCCTTACCTGCAAACTGTAGATCCTGGTGCTTGGGAAAGAATGCCTTTCTTAGGTACCTAGTAAAGGACACTGATCTCAGGAAGCTCCCAGGGAGGCTACCTCTGCCTGACCTGTACCTCCACCTCCCCTCCCCTCCCCCATGCTCAGGAAGCCTGCCCTTCTCCCCCTTACTGTGGGCATTCCAGGTACTGCAGGATCCGGGCCAGCTGCACACACGCCTGCCCCTTCTTGCCGACTCCCCTGAATTCCCCCTCCACGGTCCTGGAGAAACACAGCGCTCAAGAGCTCGTCCACCCAACCTGACCTCTGCTGCGCCCTGCTTTGCAACTCTACCCATCGGTGACAGTGGAGGCATTTCAGGCAGGGGTCCAGCCCAAGCCAATCCTGGCAGGCCCTCCCTTCTCCCTGAGCCCCGGTACTCCGTAGGATGGCCCCTCACTTGGCATCTTGGCCCTCTTCGTCGAACACCACAATCTCATCCACACAGAAGATGGTACAGGCTCTGGCAATCTGGCCGGCCAGGTAGGTGCGAAGCTCGGGCGACTGGGCGTTGTCAAGAATGGAGCCAGGCAAGGCCACGCTCAGGGTGTAGGGCCGTCCTGGGCAGAGGAGGGGTGTTCATGGTTAGTCCAAGTGGCCAGGACTATGCTCTCCCCTCCTTCCTGTCCCAGAGCCCACTGGGAGGAATTTTGAGATTAGCAAAATAGATCCAACTCCCCTCTCCAGGCCCCAATCTCCCCAAGAGGAAAATGGACTCTGTTCCCTAAGGCAACCACGAGCAGGGCAGATCACCAGGCGAGGCCAGGGAGCAGTCAGAGGCACTGGCTGTTCACCTCCTCGCTCCACCCCTTACTGTCCCAGCGCTCCAGCTGTAGGATGGGGTAATAACGAGCTATTACCTATTATTAGTGCCTTTTATGTGCACCCACATCTCCCATAACCCCAGGAAACTACAATGCCCTTCAAAGGTCAAATATGTGGCCCAAGGTCACACAAAAGGCAGGACAGCTGAGATATGGGTTCAGGCCATCTGGCTCCAGAGGGACCACAACACTCCCTCTGAGTCATCCAAAAGGAGCCACTGGAGATAACACCCATCAAGGGCTTCTCTGGTGTCTGCAACAGCTGGCGTGCTCAGCTGCTGTCCCCGCTGCCACCACCATCACTGGTAGCCACTGGGCTTATAGGGCATGAAAGGGCCCCTGACCCTCCAGAGCTTCAGGCCTAGCTAAAGAAAAGGCAGTTTGCTGGGGTAGATCCACACGTACTGACGTGGAAGGACATCAAGGACGCAACGTGAAGTGAGAAAAACCAGGCCCAGAAGCACGTGGACAAAGTGGTCTCATTTTTCTAAAACTGCGTCTCCATGTAGAACATCTTCAGATGTGTAACATCACACCTGAAAGACGGCAGGGTCCGCTGCCTTCCTCCTTCCTGCTTTATAGTTTTTTGTATTGTTGGTGGGGGAGGCGTGTTGTTTTGAGCACAGATTATTTAAAGAGGAAAAAAGGGCACTCTTATTATGAAATGAAAGCAATTACATAAAAAATACAGTCAAGGCACACAGAAAGTGCTCAATAAAAAATTTAAAAATAGCCCTTGCCAGCTGACTCGGTTGGAGCATTGTCCCATGCACCAAAATGTGGGGGGTTCGGGGCACATACCCAGGTTACGGGTTCCATCCCCAGTCGGGGTACATATGGGAGGCAACGAATTGATGTTTCTCTCTCTTCCTCTCCCTTCCTCTCTCTAAACTCAATTTTTAAAAAATCTTTAAAAATTAAAAATAACTATCACGATGATGAGATCCTGGAGGCATAAAGCTATGATATGTGACGCTTACCATCCATAGGCTTGAAATCTACCTAAGTAAGAGGTTAGGACTCAGTTTTCCGGGCCTCTGCCATTCTCTGGGCCTCAGTTTCTCCATCGGGAAAAGATGTCTGGACCCGCTGGTCTCTAAGGTCCCTTCCAGATACGACATTCTCTGCCCTGCCCAGGGCCCCGTCTCTCACCCCGGTCCTCCCTCTGTGCGGCTGCCTCCTCCTCCTCCTGCTGGCACTTGGTCTGTTCCTCCTGCACCCGCTCCCGTTCCAATTTCTTCATCAGCTTAAGATCCTTCCACTTCTTCTTCTCCTCTTTCTCTGGTCAAGGAGACATCCCCATAGGCGGAGGTGAGAGGGCCGTGGAGGGAGAGGGCCTCGGAGCTGTCTGGGGGGTGACGACCTTCCAGCGGGGTCAGGGTTCCCACTCAGCACAGGCCAGCCTGGGTGCTCAGTGGTGCTGGGTGAGCAGCCAGAGGAGCCTCCCGGGGCCCCTGACCCCGTCCTCCCACAGGGGACAAGCCTGGTGGCTTTCCCCAGAGTTTAGCTGTGCATGGCGGAGAGGCCTGGGGAACGGTCGGCGAGGCTCACCCGCGCCCCCAGCCCTTACTTACTCTGCTGCTTCCATTTTCGCCACTCCACCCTCTGGCCGTGTTCACCCTGGAGGAATGGGAGGAGGTACAGGAGTGAGGCTGAACGGTCACTATTGGGAGGGGGTGCCACTGGCAGCTGGGAATGGACACCCACCCACACTGCTGCCCCAGGCGGCGCCAGGGGGGCAGGGACCCGCTGCTGTCCCCGGCGCCTGGCACCAGGCCTGGCACACAGGAAGCTGAGNCGCCCCCAGCCCTTACTTACTCTGCTGCTTCCATTTTCGCCACTCCACCCTCTGGCCGTGTTCACCCTGGAGGAATGGGAGGAGGTACAGGAGTGAGGCTGAACGGTCACTATTGGGAGGGGGTGCCACTGGCAGCTGGGAATGGACACCCACCCACACTGCTGCCCCAGGCGGCGCCAGGGGGGCAGGGACCCGCTGCTGTCCCCGGCGCCTGGCACCAGGCCTGGCACACAGGAAGCTGAGCGAGGGGCCCGGCCTCGGGCGGCTCAGCCGGTTGGAGCATCTTCCCAACACACCGAGGCTGCGGGCTCGATCCCAGGTCGGGACACACACAGGAATCAACCAATAACGCACAAATAAGTGGCAAACCGATGTCTCTCTCTCTTTATAAAATCAATCAGCCGATAAATAGAAATGTTAAACAGTGCTCATGCGTTCCC